TATTTGTAAATAAAACAATTTTCGTTTGGTTAAATGAAAAATCACAAAAAGAAATAAAACAATGGTTAAAAGGTTTAGGTGTTGATGAACGAACCGATTTAACATATTTACGTAAAACAATTATTCCCAATGTGGCTTCTTATATTACACGTGAAAATGCCATAAAAACAATAAGAATGTTATTTATCTTATTTCAAAAAAATGCTATTACTAAAAAAGAACTTGATCAATTAAAAAAATTAAAATTATTAACAATACGTGGAACTTTAGTATTAGCTGAACAATGCTTTTTTTGTGATCAATACAAACCACGATTACAATTTGAAGAATATTTAAAAACAAAAGAAGATAGATTTGTATCGTTCGATTATGTTACAAGTCATAATAGTGGAAAAGAAAATGAAGATCTAATCGAATGGCGACGATTTTTTATTGGATTAGGCGTTCAAGAAGACTTACATGCAGTCGTATTTAATCAAAAATTAACATCTTATGAAGCAGCTGGATATGGATTTTGTGACGAGTATCTATCAACAACTTCACCTGATAGAAAGCATAAAATCGATGCCTATTCTGGACTAACAACAATCACATTTATGCAACATGCAGAAAGTAAGAACATTGATTGGTTTAAAATCAACAAATTTACCAATCGATGTCATAAAAATCGACCTTCTCCAATTAGAATTTCTCACTCAGTCAAACGCAAAAGCTTAAAAAGACTCGCGTAGACGCATGAACCGTTTTGATATGGTCACGTCTGTAATCGTATTAGAAAGGAAACTACATACGGATGTACACATTCATAGAAGTTTTCGTAGCTTAATATTTTCACATACGAGAATATACGAATATTTTTATGGAAAGCTCTTGCGTATGCATGCAAGACAAAAATTAGAATGGTCAGAAAATCGAACATACGTTATACAGACATGCATGAACACATAGGAGTTCTTTTCTGGATATAAGATTCAAACATATATACTTTGTTGTAACCGATAGCTTTTGCACTTGTTTGTACATAAATGCTAATAACTATGAATTTTTAAACTTTCACATTTGACTTGAGGATCTTTTTTATTTTGACAAAAAATGAAATGTTCATTTGTTGCCTCTTTGTGTTTTCCCATAGATAATTATGACTTTGCAAAATTCTTCTGGTCAGACGTGATGAAAAACATCCAACCAGAGACATTAACAAAAAAGATAAAAGTTTATTGGGGTCATTCCGATAAACGAGGTGCAACCGAAGGAACATTATTAGAGGATGCTGATTATATTCATTGGTTTGTAGAAAATATAAAATGTATACCAACTACTGTAAATACATGTGAATTATCAAATAACATTTTTATTGATAATAAGGAATTGAAAGAATTATGTGGCAAATACATGCATTTTTCTTCAATTTTATTACCACAAGAAAAGACAAGTTGGCATGAAATTTTTAATTTTAAAACGAAACTTTCAATTAATGATTATTTTGATTTACTTCAAAAGATTCGTGATGATGAAAAAAATTTGAAAGATAACTATGATCGAATACAAATGATATACTTTCATATATTAAAAGAAATATATTACTGATCATCCGATGAACAACAAGCAGCGAAAGCACGAGTCAAATCATTATATCTCTTAACCGAGAATGATCAATGGAAATTGACTAGTAATTTATATTTTTATATGGATGGAAATGAAGCAAATAATAATTTAAATGATGCAATACCTTGTTTTAAACTTGATTATAGAAATAGAAATCATATACATTTGACTAAATTCTTGGAATTATGTAATATCAAATAAATTCGAATGAATGATTTAAAACTTACTGATAAAAATCTTCTCCTGCTGAACAATTTCGAAGAAAATTAATTGAAATATCACCATTTTTAAAAAAATGACTGAAATATTTATCTACTACGTCGGATACTATTTTATCCATTGACAGAAAAATTCAGCAAGAAAATGATTTTATGGAATCGGATTCATTAGAATTATTTTACAATCAGAATTTCGTTCAAAAAATGAATGTATATTTTGACAATAGAAATAAACAATTATATGTAACACGACCATAAGATAGTGAAACAAAATTTATAAATCTTCTTAATAAATTATGTCAATTATTAAATATTCATGGATTTGAAGATAAACTTAGATTTTTATTAAAAGGAACAATTGAAGAGATTAAACAACATTTTACAAATAATTCAATTGAAATACCAACCAAGAAAGACATCGTTATTTTAGAGCCATTGTCAAGTTCTAGTAAGTATCAGATAAATATATTTCAATCATAAGTCATATTAATCAGCTATTTCATTTGATTTATATGTAAATGTCTTAAAACAACCAAAAAACATGTGCAACATCCTCATTTAATTCAAACAAGTCTACTCCTTGCGTAACAAATAACGAAACGAATACTAGCAAATCTGAAATTACTACAGAAATATTGACCCCTCATTCAAAAATTCAAAATAATAATAATAATAATAGTACTCCTATGAACTCACAACAATAATATCCAGTTTTTCTACAGCAACCTCAATTTTCATTTTATGGTAATTACATTTTCATAAAAACTAATACCAAACTTATTTTAGATAAGAGTAAGGTAGCTTTTTCAGTCACATTCATGTTTTACTCACTTATGAAAATAGAATAGTATTCGAGAATAATTTCTAAAA